CCCACCGGCCCAATGTAAAACCAGGATGCAAGGAAGTAGATCATCAGCAAAGAAATGAGAGTCCTGTAGCTGGCCAGAAACCTCAGACTGATCCTTGGTCCCCAGTTCTGGCTCGTTCTGTCCCTCACCACAGGACTGTACCTGATTTTCTGTACGAGGTGGGGGTTGATGAGATGATAGCGACAAAGTCTGCCAACAAAATCTTCCCTGGAGCAAAGCACTTCCATCTGATCGGCAAACTGAGGTAAGAAACATTAAGACATTAGTGCTGTAATGTAACTACTGTCATAAAGTAAGTGTAACTGTTTTATTAAACCTATTTTATTTATAGGATGAGGATTGTAGGAAATGGGGGGCATCAAAATGCACTTTTAACAGCAGAACTGCTTTAGTGCAGACTTGGCCTTGTGTTTGTCATAGCTATAGGAAGGAATTTGCTTTTCCTGTTTGAGAAATATTCATTCTGAATGATACTCCACTGTTCATCAACCATGGAAAATACTTTAATAAATAACATTTAAAATGTTTTGTGTAGGAAAAGCAGAACTACAGGTACAGAGGCAGGCCTGTATTAGGAAATACCCATCTAGACCACACTAAAGGAGATGGAGCAAGAAGAAAGCGTTACGTGTGTGCATGTGCAGCGAAGAATCTGCACAAATCTGCAAGGGAAAAACAAAAGGAGGAGATGCCATCCTTACCCTCTCGTTCAGCACCGAGGACAGGCGGAACAGGAGGCGGACAAGGGTGGCGTTTTCGTAGCTGCGGATGGGCTGGAGCTCAGCATCTCCCTGATACTGCACCTCAAACCGCCGCAAGCCGTTTATGATCTAGAAAGGGGAAAATAAACACCTTCTCTTGCACTTCCCAGCTGAAACACCTTTAAACTGGCACGTCTCTTACTCTCAAGTAAGATGCTTTTTTTTTTTTTTTTTTTATGGTTGTAGAAGGGCAGTTTGTGTTTTCAAGAACAACCGAGGGGGTGATACGGAATGTTTTTTCTCTCACCTGGTACCTGCCAAGGGGTGTGAGAATGAGGCCGTTCTCGCTTTGAATGCAGTCTGGAAGCTGGTTTTTTCCATTCTCGTCTTGAGCTGTCCCACACTTCATCATCATCTGGGTCAGTTGGGCTTCACTCAGCTACTCAAGAAAATAACACAGTTCTAAAGTGGGTGTTTCATCTACCCTCTAGTCCACTTATTTCTCACTTCACAAACTCATTAGCACTGGAAGTCCTTGAAAGCCAGCTCAAATACCAAGAACTGCTTAATAGCACCTTGGTTAGACATTAAAAGGAGATAAAAGTCTCCAGGTTAACCCAAGAAAGGGGTTTTGGTTTGTATGTCCCTTAGCTCTCAAGGAGTACCAAACAGCTGTCTCCTAGGTCAGTTCTGTGAAAGGGAGTGTGGCTGCAGAGAAATTCAGCTGTTCTCTTAACAGTTCATCCATAGCTGCAGTTATTTGCTCAACTTTTACAGCTCTACATTTAGAAGACAGTGGACTGTTTTTAAAATTGCCTTGCCTGTTTTTAAACATGAGGACAGGCCCAAGGAAAGGGACAGGTTTGGTATAAACTATACAGTCCAAAAGAGCAGTCACTTGAAACAAAGTAGGCTTGATATTTAGAAATTCAGAGCAGCTAGTAAAGGGGTTTGAGGTGGTCAGGTGAAGTCAAGAGTCTAGAAGACTTTAACAACAAAATTTACCCACAGAGCCTCTGGATGGCTTTGTGACCCCCCAGAAGAACAAGAAACACAGACATACATTTGAGGAATCCTGACTCTTGTTCACACTGTGCGAGTTCTTAGAAAGATGTTACGTACCTTAAAGATTTGGCACAAGTATTCCAGTGCCTTCTCTAAATATTCATCTGTTTTTTTGATGCTGTCTTGCCCAATTTCATCAAGGTCATTGCCTGTGTAGGAACCATTCATGTCAGATGGTGTAAATCTAAACCATGAAAAGAAGGACTGGGTGGCTGTTGTCTCTGCAGAATGGTCTGATATGGATTTTGCTGTCTGCTGTGCCTGACAAATTAACTGAGCAAGTTTTAACACCTAAAACAGAAAAAAAAAAACAAAATTGTGTGAGGCTGAGCATCAATACATGGATAAAACTGTGCCTTGATAGCTGGCAGTGAGAGCAATCCCAGTAAATTCACTCTCTTAGCTTATATGGACTTGTGCTGACTTAGTTGCATTTCCCTTAGGGAGAGGGCAGTTCTTGGATGCTGAAGCATTTTAAAACCTGAGTGGTGCTTAGGTCTCCTCCTGCTATTTTTATCTGACTCACTGATAGGTTTCTGATCAATACAGTGGATCAGAAGTTCACAGTAAGCATGTTTGAGAGGAACTACCCACCATCTACTATTCCAAGGCAGCAAGCTGTTACACTGACTTCTTATTTAGCAAAGAGCAAGCAGATTTTTACAGCTGCGCTGGATTGAAACCCCTCAGGTTCCAGAAGTCACTGCCAGCAAACTAAATTATACAGTAATGCAGAGTGTGAGGTTTTCTACTCTTAACTTCTCATAACATGGCTGCTCAGCACTGAGAAAACACCTGTTGAAATAGGCAGGTGACAAGAAGCTTGTTGCTTACCAAATTCCTGACTTCTGTGCCAAACATCTGTTTATACTGGAAGTCCTGTCCTTCCAGGCTGTAAACGTGACTCTTCACCTTAAATGAGGCATCTGTAACAGCTGGAGACCGTGATGACAAAAAACTCCCCCCAAGTGTGGGGCTCATAAAAAGTCGGTGTTGACGGTGGGGAATAACAAGTTCTGGCTCCAGGAATAACTGTTCTCCTGGAATTTGAGAAAAGCAGTGAAGATGGTTACATAATACTGTTCTTGCCTGGGGAAGGTTTAGCTGTCTTAAAGCTGCTTTTAGACAGACAGGTGGTTCTAGGGGGAAAGAGGCCTTAATTACCCTTTTTTATTTCATTCTCTCTGCCCACAGCAAAAAAATAGTCAAGTAAGACAAGTGTTAGAAAAACTCCCTATTGTAATTGTGTTCTTTAAGGAAAAAATGTGGAATCAAACCTAAATGATGGCGGTTAGAAAAGGACTATAGACATTCAAACCAATATGACAAACATTAGTGGAGACACACAGACTTTTGAATGGCAGAATAGCATTCAAAATGGGAGAGAAGTCTATTCACCTCACTGTTTCTGAGGTAAGATGTAGCTATTGTGAAGAAAGACTGAGACAGGACTGAGACAGCATAAGATGTCAAAATATCTTTTACCTTTCAGGATCATTTCAGCTAGGTTGGGCTGAGCAAAGACCTTAGCTACTCGGAACACCATGAGGGCATTTTTGGGGCTGACCAAGTCTGTTCGAAGAGCTCTGTTCAGAAATCCTACAAACAGCTTGGTATACATGAGTAGGTTTTCTTGAATGAAGGCAGCCCTGTCAAAGCGAGTACAGAATTTGTGAGTACAGCTATTTAAATAACTGTTATTTTGTCTTCTGCCAAATGAGCCATTTAGGGAATGTTTTACAGTCTCTGGAAAGATGGTCAGTTTGCACTGAGACAAAAGAATACGCTCGAAACAAAAACTTGTGTTCTAAAAAAGACATCTCTACTCTTGTACAGGAAGTTAATTCAGGCTGATGGATAGTTTTTGAAACACTGCTGTTTTACTCTGATCTGCATAAACTGGAGGTTGGCTCAGATTCCTCCCAGCTGCTTTCCTCCTTACCATTTCTCCGACACGCTGCGAGGCAAAGGCTCCGTGCTTTGGGGAGGCTTTTCGGGAGCGTATCTCCAAGGCTGCAGGTAACTCAGCCACATCTCAAGGACCTAAGCAAAATCACACATAAAAACACAGGAGTATCAATACTTTTTTGGAAGGGAAGAGAAGAAAGGGGTTTTTGTTTGTTTTAAAATTAACGAATATTATCTTAATGACACCTGAAAGCTTTTAGCAATAAATCTTTCTCTAGTAATCTGGGAACCTTTGAAAAAGAACTGAAGGCTACACCTACTTTTTTTAGCCCAATCAACAGCCACTTTCACTGTCAGGAAAATCAGCCAACAATTTGTAGTAATTCTTACCAAGATCTATTCAACTTTCATCTTGTGTCTAACTGGTACTCTTTGTACACATTGGTACACATTAATATTAAATGTGCATGTTAGATAAAGAATTCCACTGCTCTAGAAAAGAGAGATTTAGAGACCAAGAGGTGCTAAATGGCAGTAACTAATAACTAGTTCTGTTAAGTAGAGACTTAAAAAGGGAAGCAGGTACATACTGCTCTGAAAGAGGCATCCAGAGGCCAGTGGCCAAAGCAGTGTTGCAGAAAGATGTAAAGCTTCTCCTGGACAAACCGAGGAATTACAACCCTGCAAACAGATTCCAGGACAGTCACATGTAGAAACCAGCAGCAAATTTTAAAACCAAAACAACCCAACCCACCAACAACCCAACCCACTGTCACAACTGCAAATACAGAAAGGACGGACCAAAACTTGTTCTTTCTTAACTGAAGCTACTTCTGGCCATTGAATTTCAACTCAAATTCATAAACATCAGATACTAAACTAACCTTGGCAAGAATCCTCTGGTAGCATTTTCTTTTCTCTGACTGGTGCCAGGATATAGACTAGTGTGTAACAGCTGCTGCTGAGGCTGCCCCCCTCAGTGGGTGTGAGAAATATAATCCATTAGCTCTCATGTACTTTTAATAATGTACTTCTGTATCTAAAGATCAAAACAACTCAACCTCTTGGTAAGAGCTGAGGTTTTCAGGGAAAAGCCCTATACATTTCAGAGACAGGCTGCTCATGTACCTACCTTTTAAACTCCTCCAGTGGACTGGCTGTGTGGGAGTGGGCTGAAGGGGAGAGGGGCTCTGGTTTCAGGCTGTTGCTGAAAGCATGCAGGTGTTTCACAAGCAGTCTTACCACTAGCACGTGCTCTTCAGTGGGCTTAAATGACTCCTAGAGTCAAAGCAAAAGAGAGGAAACTAGTGAGTGTCATATGCTAAATGTCCAGGAAGTAATTCAGGATAATTATATTCTCAGCTCAAAATACAAGAAATGCTCTCCTCCTTCTAGGTTCTTCACCATAGTTTGGTGCCACCTGATTTTGGGCAGGCTTGCTCCCCAGGACAAGCTGTATCAGTCTTCTGCTATGAGCTCACTAAGAAACAGTAGCATAATTTGATTGTAAGAAAAGGTATCTACAATACTCTAATGCACTGAATTTTGGGCTAGAATTAAAGAACAGAATAACTTGTAGATTTCAACTTACCCCTTTCTGAAAAAAGAATATGCAGCTTTTCATTATGGTTATAAGTTCATTGCTGCAGACAGCACAGCAGGTCCTTTGTTTATGCTCATGACTGGCTTTACTGAGTTCTCCTTCCTCTGCCTTATAAGAGAGAATAATCCTAGACAGAGTAATGGTAAGAATAAGAACTGCTTGGAGTCCTGTGTGATCCTGTTGGTTCTAGCACCCTTAGGGCTGGGAGTAGCACAAGGAGTGAAGGTGAGCCACAGTGATGTCATTAAGGAACGAGTGAGTGTATGGCAGAGCAGGGAGGTGAATGAGGTTAAAAAGAGCTGGTTCTGCGTGCCCAGCACCAGAGCTGGTCTGCTGAGGAATCTGGGGACTAAGCACAAATGCCTTTGCTACTGTGATCTGCTTTAAGAGTAGTGAACTAATTTCAATCCACCACTGAAGGCAGATTTTGAGATAGCCATTTGTATTATAAGTTTCACAGAAGCTGAGAAGAAACAAAAGTTACAGCTGGAAGTATAATGGGAAGTCCTGGGAGAGTGTGTTAGCCAAGAGCTGCAAGATGTTCCCAGGATGGCAGGAGCAGCCATGCCAAGGTAAGACACTGAATATAACTCTAAGGGACTAGCAGGCATTTTTATACAAAAAGCTTCCACTTCTTAAATCCACTCAACAGTGTTCCCAGTGCTGGGGGTGGGGAGGGGTCTGTGTGTGTCTTTGTCATTTTTCTGCAATGTCTGAGGCAAAGCAGATGTGTTTTTACAGTCTCTTAAGACTTTTAATACACTGTGAGGTTCACTCCAGAAGATTTAAGGCTCGATGATAGATACAGTCATGTGGTACAGCCAGATCTGAGACTCTTCTTAGAGAAGGACAAATGGATATTAGTCCTAATGAAGGCTGCTCATGTGGTTTTGACAGCTCCTGCTTACATCAGCATGTTTTCTACAGTTCTGAGGAGAGTTTATGTACAAGGGTAGAGCTCTGAGAGGTTACACGGTCCTAGGAGTTTGGATCAGGATCTCCAGAAGCACTGGAGAGGCTGAGTACTCTGCTATAGGCCTTGAAAGGGTGTAATCTAAAAAAAAAATCATACAATACCCTTGAAGGCACCTTTTGAATTTACAAACCCACCACTATTCCAATACACCCTTTTGGGTGATGTCAGTAGTTTTCCCCCTTAGCAATTCTTATAATTTCCTCTTAGCCTGGATCAGCACTATTATGAACATCACTGGTTTAAAAACTGTTTTTCCCCACTAGTGTTTTTGTTGTCAAACCTTATCTTACAGGATGTATGCCATTCTTAATTCTTAAACCAGTAATTAGATAAACATAATACAGAGATTTCAAGTAGCATGTTCTGTGTTCCTTTCTAACCAGTACTTTGAGATATCACAGCACTTAATGAAAAAAAGAAAGAAAAAAGGATTAAAGAGCAGGGAAATGCCATGTAGTGCTAAAGAGCTGTATAGTATATAAGCTTAGCCCTCCCCATTCCCAAAATGAAGACCCAATGAGTAAAGGCTGAAGTAGGGAAAGAGGAATCAGCAATCTGTTCCAACAGGAATGTTTCTGCATGCACATTTCCTGAACAATCTGCAAATGTACCACTCGTGCTTTTGCAAAAGCCAGGTTCACACTGCCACTACAAATTTAGTATTATCCAACCACATTTCCTTGGCTAAAACCCCTAGATGTTACCTACCTTAATCTGGGTGACAACCATGCAAATTCTGATCTTTTCTTCCATGCAGGGTTTGCTTAAATGACTAGTGAGGGGCAGAAATCTGCCTCTGGTGAAGAAACATCAGCACAGCTGGTAAGTCTTTCTACACTGCATTACAAGAATGCATCTTTAGAAACGGAGTTCCCAATTAGTCCTCATAATATGCTACATTTTAACTATTTTCTCCATGACCTTTGCTAATCTCTCTCGGTATCTGTTTTCACTGAAAAATTCAGTAAATCTCAATGCAGTGATCTCAATCGAGCTGTCAGGTTGTTGGCAGAAGAAGCTGCCGTACAGCCAGCACCAATACACTTCGCAGATTATATGATGGAACGAGATTTTTAATAAGGAAACAAAATGAAAAGATGATAATACTTGGTATGCGTGGAGGGCCTGGTAGCTGGATTGGGCAGGACTACCGTGGTGTTTACTGGAGATACTGAGTCGGTAGTGGAGAACCTCCAGCTGAGACAACAGAAACAAAAAGGAAGGGGGGAGGGAAAAAAGGAGAGAAGAGAGCAAGAGAAAAAAAAAGTGAGAATGAGCCCAAGGAAGAAGGGTGGGGGGAAAAAATGAACATCACAAATACAGTCAGGGACAACGTATCACAATAACAACTGCAGCCACAGTATCCTCTTCTTTGTGGTGTTCAGTAGGGTGATTCTACAGTATTTCATACCCTCGGTCAACTTGGAAATGCAAGTGGGAACAGATGTCAGAAAAGTGGCTGTTCTCTGCTACCCTTAGAGCGAGTACTGGTAGGGGACATGGAGCTTTTGCCAAACAAACTCCCCATTTCAGAAGTTAATTGCACTGCAGCAACACACTGTTGCAGTGTGCATTTGTTAAAAACAGAATAAAAGAGGGGAATATTCTGCAGGCTTTTTTAAAATATATTTCAAAAACTTCCTGTGCTGCTGGTTTGTATACAGGGAAGAAACTCAGTCTGAAGTTTCCAGTTCAGAGAAATCCTGTGTTCTCTCTACTTAAAGGCCATTTGGAAAGGCTGCAGGTCTTGTGAATTTCCTCAAAAGAGGGAATTACTTTCACTATTAAGGAAACATCCCATGTGTAAAAAGGCAAAAGACACACCTAACACAGTGTTATGTGCTGATGCAAAAGGCACATTGCCATAACACTGAAGTCTCTGCAATCCTCAGCCAGCTGCCTTCTGGAATAGCAAGGTAAAGTGTATTTTTTGACAATGTGCTGAAGAGGATACTGTAGCCACAGTGACACACATGTATGAAATTAATGAAAAAACATAAAACAAAAAATGTACACTACACAGATCCCAATGACCACTGTCAGGCATCTAAACTAACTCTCCAGATCACACCTCTGCTGTCTTTAAACAGCCTCTACCCAACCCCCTCCAGTGTCAGTTTGGCATCTTTTGGTTTTACACTCTTAAGAGTGGTAGGATTGTTATTGCAACAGCTCAGGCAGATTCTCTGCTTCATTACTGACTCCCCTGCCACAGGAATCTGCAAGACCCTGTAGTCCAAGGGCTGTTCCACATGCAGTGCTGGGGGCTGAGCACCTGGCATTGGAAGGTCAGGAAGCATCACGTGAAGTTTTGTCAAACTACTTTTTCTAAGGGTTCATTGTGATTACAGCAGAAGGGGGCAGGAAAAGAGATGCTGCACACGTGGACTCTGGATCATCAGAGAAGGAAAAAGCAAACAGACAAAAGAGCTGGGAAATAGTGGAATTAAAGGGGGAAACAGTGACACTCAGCATAGCAAATAGCTCCAACCTCAGGTTCACAGCAGACCCAGAAAAATTCAAAGTTGTAACACAGTATATCTTATCAAAAGAAATTATTTACTATTAATTCCCATGCCACTGCCTTCTGCTTGTAAAGGGAAGTCTGTGATGCTGTTAATGAGGTTTAAGGAAAAATCTATGATTCTACTTCACAGGAAAGTTACTTATGTGGGATCTGCCTTGGCCCATCAAAGCAAACAAATCTGGCTGCTGGACAAAGAAAGAGCAAGTTCTGCAGAACCTCATCCCACCTTCCAATACAGGTATGTAGCCACTTCAAATCACTGATGGTCAAACAGGTCTAGATCCAGGGATGAAGAGTCACTAATTACCCCTCCTTTCACACACACAGAAGGTTAAATGGGATCAAGTGAACTTGCATAATTATTAATAATTTTATGAATGAGTTTAGGGTGATCTTGGGTTCCAAGTAAAGGCCCTTAACACTTGTGTTATAATAAAACTTACATTTCTGGATATTCTACTTCCTCTCTTGAGGAGCTGTGAGGCAGACTGTTCTCCTTCAGCCTACCCTGAGACCAACCTAAAAAGCTTAGTTTAAGTATCACAGGGTTATGAACAGTCCTGTCCCCAGCTGATCTGGAGCCCTTCCTCAGTCCTGCAGGATCCTCAGATCATTCATCCATGGAGAATTCCAGTCCCCCACTCCATTGTTCTACCCCCTAAAGAGTGAAGACTTCCTATTTTACACGTTCATGATTACTTCCCATCAAAGATGAAACTAAAGTACCCTCAGGGAGTTATGGCCTCAAGCTGTGGCTCAACACACCTTGTGGAGGATCCTGAAGTGCTGATTTCAGAGACCTGTAAGCTCTACCTAGACCCCACTCCACCATAATGTGGAGTCACTGTCTGCAACTGCTGCTCCCTAGTGCTAGAAGAGAGCATCTGAAACACAGAGGGTGAACAGAGGAGAGAAGTTTAAAGCAACCATCATTTCTGGCCTAAGCACAGCGCTTGATGCACAAGAGACTGGACAGACAGACAGACCAAAGGTACTTCAAGCAAAGCCTTTCCATCACAGGTGCACAGCCATGCTGCTGGGAGTCCCAAGTGGAGACTTTGCAACTTTACTGAGTTTGCATTTTGACCTCAAGAATAAAAGACAAAACCCATCACACTTCAGCTCTCCAATGTTTTTCCCTAGCAAAATATAGATGTGTTCTATTTCATATCCTGTGGAGTGAAGGATTAGAATTTGTCAATCAATCGACTCTCATATTGCTCTTTCACCCAGGAATAAATCCTGAGTAGCTTTTGTATTTCTCCCCGCTTCCAGGAAAGTCCCACTGTGACCCAGAGGGAATTCAGAGGATCAACATTTTCTCCTTCAAATTCCCTTTACACTGATAATGCTTTGATCTTGGCCTCCCTAACACTTGCTTCTTACATGCAGTAGTTTGTTACTGAACAGGCCACCACAAACTGCTCATGACAGTTATTATATGCGTGTATTATCTGAGCAAGAGCTTGTCAGATATTCTGAACTCTGGAGCTGTAGAACTGCTTCTGACACCATTATGGTGCAGAGCATATTTTGGAATAAGAGACAACAAAAAGTGGCTTATTTGCTTAACAATGAAGGACAGTTTAGTAAGATCTTTTTTTTAAACTTGGATTTATGCTAAAAAATGGTTACAGATCTCAGAAATTACTAATTGGTATTTCAGTAACAGTTGCTATCAATTTTAGATATTTTTAGCAGCCATGTTGCCCCAGTGAGATTTAACACAATGGTTTTATAGTGGTATCTTCTCCACCATTAGTCCTTTTATTATTGGTGTTCAGATTGTTGTGACCATCCCACAAACTCATCTTGTACAAAAACAACCAAACAAACAAAAACCAACACAACTTCTGCAATGAAGGCAAATCTGAATGACACACTTATTCACAACATTCTTCGTAAGTGGATTAGCAATTGTGACACACTCATGTAGATATTCTGGTAAGTTATTTCCTTCCTTTGGACCAATATACAAAACAAAAATTCTCCACAAAACAGGAGATTCACCCCAAGATAAGAGTTGAACCACCAGGTGATGTTCATGAATAAAGTACAAACCATTACCTTGACGTGAGGGGACTGCATTTTCTGATACATTTCCAGTGAATAATGATGAAGCCACATTTCAACAAAGATCTGCAAAACAAGTATTTTCTCAGCTGGGGAAAAAGAAATAATCCAGGACTGCCAGTCACAAGATAGGCATAAGGAAGACCATCGTATGTAATTTGAAAACTAAGCTGGTAAATAGAGGCACCTATTCAGAGATGTTTCAGGTTATCATGTCAATGACTGAGATGGCAAACTCTTGCACCAGCCAGGCATCAGTTAGTCAGTTCAGCAACATGGTAGGAACTTCTTTCAGAACAACTGTTAAATCCAAATTTTCCTTTCCCTTCCCTCGATGGTGAACAGAACCAACTTCTCCGTGCTCAACCTTTGCACAGAAATGACGTAAGATCAAACAAAGAAAGATCAGGTGTAGAAACTTTATGAGCAAAAAACACTCAAATGCTTGAGATCAGTAATTAGAAACTCAGTCTAAAAACAAAAGGATAGTAAGTGCCTTTCCAAGCTACATCTTAACTGTTTCACGGTGGTTTTTTGTTTCCCTAACAGAAAGCAACAGCTGTGCTGCTCCATTCCAGAAACAAGCTAAAGCAAAACAGCATGAACTGTCTCTGGTTTAAAAAGAAGAGTTCCCTCAGTCAGCAGCAAGAAATCCAGCTTACCTGAAGCAGTGTTTCTGATCTCCAGATCTCCTGGGAAGCCGGGTCAGCGTTCACAGAGGGCTGGTGAGCAATGTGGCGTTTCAGCAGGCTGGTGTGGTGCATGCCATAGGAAGAGAAGGGCACTGCTGGAGACCTGCCAGGGAAAATGAATGGAAATACTCAAGTCAGTAAGCTCAGTGCAGGGGAATGTAGCACTGCTTTTAATCACCAATCTGTAAACTGGAAAACAGTCTTTTAAACTGCCTAGTTGATTACACGTTTCGAAATCCTCCAGCTTACTATAATTACTAATCACTTCAACTATTAACTGAAACACTAGGTCACTATTCCTATTGCATTTTGTAATTATATAATAAGTACATGCACATCTAAGTGTGGAGGTGCTTTCTACTTGGTAGAGATCTTGCTCAATAAGCCACTATTTTGTATGCACTGCTCCCACAGTTGGCCTCTGGCCCTGCAGTCTTACCTGGGAGTCGGGGAAGGGATGGCTCCCCCGGGATTTGAAGAAGGTGGAGGAAGGACACTTCCTTCTGTGGGCAGGAAACACTTGAGGTACGTGTCCACCAGGATGAAATAAGCACTGTTGGAAGGGCTGACGTGGTGGGTGACAGGTGAGTTCTGTAACAGACACGCAGGGCATGCAGGGGGTTACACCTGTGGCCTGGCCAGGGCCGGGGAGCGATGCTGCACAGCCAGGCACCTTCAGCAGGGACAAGCAGGAGCCCTGAGGTTGTGAAGGGTGAATTGACAGGAAAGACACTTTGGAGTAAAGGTAAAGTGAGGAGCTGTAAGAGAGCTGTTGCTGTGGCAGTGAGTGTAACCAAGGAGGAGAAGAGAGCAGAGTTATACAGCACAGGTAACAACAGGCAGAGGAACCAAATAACCACACACACAGCACCAAGCCATGGTATGACTGTACAGAAGGTCTGATTTGACACAGGGGTAGGAAACCCACTTGGAATCCACTGCCTGCTCCTTTTTGGTTGGACAGACTGCTTACTGGTTATTTCTTTATAGGTGGGGATTTTGTTTATTATCCAGTCTTGGATCATCAACTGAATCAAAGCAGTAACAAATTCCAAAAGAGCAGATAAGACTGCTGTTAATTTAGCTACAAGCACCTCAGGAAGCTCTTGCAGCATTGTGAAGAAAGGCTAATACTCTTTTAAGGGAAAAATTGCGACAGGTACTTACCTTCTGTGTAATCAAACTAATTGCAAAGTAAAACATGTAATATTCAAATGGATCTGGAAGAACAGAGTCAAGGATCAAATAATAAAAAACAGGCACAGCTGTTAGATACTGGGGGATGCTAAACAGTCTTTAAGCTTTTATTTTGTCAATACTAAATTACCTTGCTAGAGCTTAACAGCAAATTCAGCTTTGCTTCCTTGCTTTCCAGCTGACTCAGACTTGGGCAGTTGAGGTGTTCTCTGTGTGACAAGGTGTGTTTGCAATACTGTCAGCACATTTGATTATCTCAACCTGACACCAGCACAGCTACAGCTACAGAGCTTCTGACAAGCCCACTGGTTGCAAAGTAGAACATGCCCTTTTCCTACCATATTGCATAAACTGTGAGTAGTTACAAAAACAAAAATTGTGAAATACAGGCTCTACTGAAACACTGGGAATTTTGTTGTTGACTTGACTGAGGCCAGAAATTCCCCCAACAAGGGTTTATAAGAAGAGGACACATTTATTTTTCATTGTTATCTACATATTTCTAATCAGCTCAAACTCTTTAGCACAACCATGATTTACTACACACACACACACAATAAATATACAACAGAAACACTCATGACCTCCCAATTTTAGATATTTAAACAGAAGTAAATGTCCAACAGTTAAAAGGATACTAAGAGCCAAATTCAAACCTAAACCACCAGATGAAGGAAACTGGACTTTGTTGTGGTATAAAGAACATTCAGGCAGAACTTGTTCTTGTATTGAAGCCTTCACAGGGCCCTGAAAGACAGAGTAATGAAATATTAATCTGGCTACTCAGCATATTGCAGAGTGTGTTTTCAGATAGTGAGGTTCTGCATTCCAGCATTCTGGGATGATCTCAGATTCAGCTCAGTGGGATTTTATTGCATTGCACTGGTTCCTTCTGCAAATGCAAAGTCTTTAGAAAACTCTCCACTTTCTCACTGAAAAGAACATTCAGTATTTTTTTTATTTAAATTCAGTGTGTTTTTTTAAAAACCTTCACCGTGACTTCTCCAGTTGGAGTGGGAGCAGCAGAGGACTGGTGTTTTGTTCAGGTAACTGAGCTGTGGACCAGCAAATACCATCTACTTAAATGATGTTTCCTTCTGTGACAGACTGTAGAACTACCTGAATCAACTTCTAGATAGCACATAGCTTGTAGCCATGGAAGAAACAGAGTGAAACAACTCTGCAGATGAACATCTTTCTTTGAAATGTGATACTTCACATCCAGGATGGCAGTGAGACTTCAAACCCCTGGGTACAAAGCGTAGCCAGGGAAGTCACTGCTCTGTGACGAGCTTGGAAAACTATTTTCAATGCTGCAACTACAGGTAAGCACACAACTTTCTCTGGGGACAGGGTAAGAATCACAATGCAGTTTTTTTGGCTGAACAGCACAAATATCCAGCTGCTGACAACCACAATCTCCTACAGAGTTTATGGCTGGGAACTCCTCTTCCAGAGGAGGAAAGGAAACAGGTTTACTCTAACTCTGGAGCACTGAGGCTACACCATGGCCTATACTGAACCACGGGCATGCAAAGTTCCAACAGCTGCTACAACTACAGACTGTTCAGTTACTCACTGGAAGATAAGAGACTGGGAAATCATATCTGTACTCTTCTGCTTGGAGTTTGTAAACCAGCTTCATCATCGGGCCACTGCAAACAAGCATCAGAGAGAAAACCCGTGGTGAGTACCCTCTCCTGTCTCACTTCTGTGAATTATGGACAGTGGAAAAAAGACTGGCTATTTGTTCACTGATTCATGTTTTCATCTGTGCTGAAATGAATGAGTTTACCTGGGATCCAGGAAATCCAAAGCCACAGAATATTCATTAGGATTTGTTCTTCCTTGCAAACAGCGAAGATTCCAGCCCACAATGATGCCATCCAGGCTACCAAAAATGCTCTCCACCAGCCACGGGAAGATGCCATGCAGTTCCTTTAGGGAAAACAGACACAAAAGAGTTAATGTGAACAATCCCTCACAGAGACAATCTCTGCTGCACATACCAGAATGCACAAAGATACTGCCTGCCAGCTCTTTGTGACTGTTTCCAGACTGCCACTGGGCAGAGCTTCCATTCAAAACACTGCATTGTAATTATGGGATTCCAATTAAGGGAAATCTATCCTAATTTCTGATCCTACTGAATTTGCAGTGATGCTCATCAGCACCACATACAGTTATTTGTTACATTTTAAAAACTATGTTTTCCTCGTAAACTGAGGCTGAAAGGTATTAATGAAGTGCAGTCAACTGAAACAATCTTTTAACTGCTAGAAAAGGTTTTTAACTTTCGGAAACGCTGCATTCCCGCTGTTCTCAAAACTCAGAATCACAGAATCAATGAGGCTGGAAAAGGCCTCTGAGATCATGAAGTCCAAGCTGTGACCCAACAGCACCGTGTCAACTAGACCAGGGCACTCAGAGCCACGTCCAGTCTTTCATTAAACACTTCCAGGGATGGTGACTCCCCCACCGCCCTGGGAAGGCCGTTCCGAACAGATTCCAGTTTATCTTTATAAGAGAAACAGGAACAAAGAAAACAGCAATATGACAAAAACAGCCCCCCCGAACCCCGCCGGGCAGGGAGTCCCGAGAAGGCCGAGGCCGCTCACCTTGGCGGGGAGCTCCTCGATGAAGGTCTCCAGGTCGTGGCACCGCTGCGCGAAGGGTTTGTTGACACAGTCCGCCTTCAGCGTGGCCTGTCGCAAATCGCGAGGGAAACCCGATCAGAGCGGACAGCGCTCACCGCGGCCATGGCGTAACACAAACCCAACGCCCGCCCGCGCCGCTCCTCCGGTACCGCCCCAGCGACACCCGCACCCTCCGCCCGGCCCGGGCACCGCACGGGGGCCCGGGCACCGCCCGCCCGCCCCGGCACACGCACCAGCAGGAAGCTGGGCTGCTGCAGGTGCGGCCCGGCCATTTCTCCTCCTCCTCCTCCCGTCCCGCGGCGGCCGCAGCGGGATGGGGACCGGGACCGGGACCGGGAGCGGGACCGGGATGGGGACCGGGATGGATCCCGCTCTCCCCGCACCGCCTCCCGCGCTCGGCGCCCGCGTGCCCCTTCCGCGTCACGGCGCAGGCGGGTGACGTCACGGCGCGGTTGCCATGGTGACGGCTCGGCGTGCTGTCCCAACATGGCCGCGCTGGGCTCTGCCCCCTCGTGGAGTCACGGAATGTGCGGAGTGGGGAGGGACCCACAGGAATCATCGAGTTCAAGCCTTTGGCCCTGCGCCGGACACCACAGGATTCCCACCATGTCCCTGAGAGCGTTGTCCAAATTCCTCTTGAGCTCTGTCAGGCTCGGTGCTGTGACAGCTGCCCTGGGGAGCCTGTTCAGTGCCCAGCCACGCTCTGGGTGAAAAACCTGTTCCTCATATCCAGCCTAAACCACCCGCGACTCAGCTTCACGCAGTTTCCTCTAGTCCTGTCAGTAGTCGACAGAGTGAAGAGATCTGTACCTGCCCCTCCACTGCCCCTCGGGAGGATGTTGAAGACCCCAGTGGTGAAGACCTCCAGTTTAACAGGATTATTTACCAGGGTAAAATGATTCGATATTTACATAAACGTTTACAGAATCAATAGTTAAACACAGTACATTATTTCTTGGTATTGACATGTGCTTCCTCTCCAATCTGCTCTTCCCAAACTGGATCTCAAAACTGCATTTTGATTTTAGTAGTGACTAAGGGAATGCATCAGCCCCAGGGGCAGTGGAGCAGTCCAGTTCTGACCGCTGAAAAGACAAATTACTTTGCACACAGCCCCATTTGG